GAAAAAGTAGTGGCATTGCGTTTTTGAGGTAGCAAGCCGAGTTTCCACAATCAATAACTCCAAAACAACTGCATCAAGACGAGGTAAAGGATCTCGATGTAGTAGTGAAGCTCGCACTCATCATGAAGCGCGATTAAAATTTGCATAACATGCATACGATCATGATATTCAACAAACTTGCGAGCATCAAAATCTAGTTACTAGTATGGCTCAAATAAAGCTAACTGATCCCATATAGCATTCATGGATCATAAAAAATCGTCACTAGATTGATCTGTCTCCTAATGCATGCAATGCAGATTTCTAATAACTGATACTGATGAACAATATGTGGCGTGGAATACCAGCTGGCGGGAAGATCCTAGGCTTTCTTTGTTGTATTCAAGGGACCAAACTAAAGCTCAATAAATGGGATTGAAGTCTTTTGAAACCACGTTAAGATATGATATGCTTGCTATCTAATTATTAGCCTCACCAGTAGTTTGAGTAGGCTCGGGAATGTCGCTAGTGACATAATGCTAGAGGTGGCAACATGGATAAGAAAATCCATTTAGGGCCCGTTTGGTAACGTGCCAAATAGTGAAAATTTCTATTCTTTTGTTCCTAGAAATAGTTTGGGAACAGAAATGCGTTTGGTAAATTTTTTGTTCCTTGGCACATTTTTGCAAAAATTTGTGCCGAGAAACAGTTTTGGAAGAGAAACAAGAAGTAAAAAAAAGTTGCTTCTTGTTTCTCGGCACAATTTTGAGAATCAGTTTTTTTTTTTCTTTTTTTTTTTCTTATTTTTGTGTTGTTCTTCCCTCATTGGGCAGCTGGCCCGGGCGACCGGCCACGCCCAGGGCCGGCGAGGGCGTCCCGGGGCAGGTGCCCTCGCGGCGAGGCGAGGGCTGGACCCTCGCCGCCGGGCGAGGCGGCCTCGCCATATCGAGCTAGGCCGAGCCTCGCCGTCCGTCGCGACGGCGAGGTCGGCCTCGCCCGATCGCAAGGCCGAGCCTCGCCGTCGCGACCCACGGCGAGGTCGGCTTCTCCGTGGGTCGCGACGGTGAGGCTTGGCCTCGCCGGATCCGGGCGAGGCCAAGCCTCGCCGTCTCGGGCGAGGCCGCCTCGCCTAGGCGGCGAGGGTCCAGCCCTCGCCCTCGCCGGCGAGGGTGACCCTCGCCTCCGCCGGCGGCCGGCGAGGTCCGTGACGCCCTCGCCGGCGACCGGCCATGGCCAAAGAAGAAAGTAGAAAGAAAAAAAAAATTAAACAATTCAAAATATTATTAAAATATTATTTGGGAACAGAAATTTTGTGTAGTTACCAAACGCATTTATGTTCTTTTCTACTCTAGGAATAGAAATTTTGGACATTTATCAAACGCTTTCAAATACTCAGAAATTGTTTCCGAGCACAGAATAAAAAAAAATCATTTCTGTTCAGAAATAGCGCCCGGGTACAGAATGGTATTCATGCGCACCCTTAATAACTCATTTTTAGTGACCCCAGGTTGAATATGGGTCAATTAAAATTTTGAAAACGAATCAAAATGGATTTGCAACATTAAAGCATAAGTTAATATAGGTCGAATATGGGTTTGTAACAAACCCATATTCAACCCATTTAAGTTATTAACTTATAGGTTAAATAGCTTAAGTGAATCATAACATGTCATTTAAAAAATCATTTTTTAAATTTATATTTTTATTTTCTTAAAAATCAATTTTTTAAGTATTTTTTTTTTCTTTTTCCTTCTTCTTCAGCTGGTCGCCAGCCACATTGACAGCCGGCGATCGACGATAGGCAAGCTCGACCTCCTCCAAATCGGTGAGCTTCGAGCTCACCAAATTCTGGCGAGCTCGTCCATATTGCGAGCTCAAGCTCGTCCAGATCGGCAAGCTTGAGCTCGTTCGACGAGCTTCAAGCTCGCCTATCGCTGGTCGTCTGCGATTGCCATGGCCGGTGACCGGCTGAAGAAGAAGGAAAAAGAAAAATTTAAAAATTAAAATGAAAATTTCGATTTTCAAAAAATAAAAGAAAAAAGAAAAAAAATAAATATATATTTTTTAATTATGAAAATTGTTCACTAATTTTGTAATGCACTAAAGCATTTTAGCAATATAAATAATTTTAAAACTTTATAAGAAACAAATTCTTTTCTAAATTAGATTTTATATTAAAGTCATTTAGAATATAGATCGGGTATGGGTCGGGTATGGGTCGCAAGATAGTATGAATATGGGTCAAAACGGATTAAATAGATCAATATGGGTTGGACCATTTTCGACTCGATCCAAACCTGACTTGACTCACCCGTTTGACACTCCTAGATAACACCAAAACATGCGCTCTCTTAGAAAACTAGATATTTATGAAGCCCATAAAATATAATTTGATAATTCATAACGGATTCAATTGGTATAAGGACATCCATTTTATATATTGAATGCACTTTACTAGTTTAAAAGCAGCAAATTGTAGAAGGAATGCCAAGGCACTAGCATTTGGATTGCAGATATGGAGAAAATAACGCAAAAATTGGATTCAGCTGGTCCAAATGCCTTAAGAAACCATTGGTCAACATCTCTAAAATATCAAAAGTAACAGAATACTAAAATATAAATTGCAATGAAGGAAGATAATACGACAATCTTAAGAGATATACGAAATCAAGGAAACATCTCTAACAAATATGGTTACATTTAACATGTAATGAGCAAATGGCTGCTTTATTAATCAAGGAAGTAGCTAAAGTGCTAACATTAAAGCGGCCGGCAGTAACGATGACATTGACCGCTCAGCAAAACTTGGGCCATTAATTGGTCTCTCCATCGAAGAGGAAGAGAACGATCTCGTTGGTGTACTATTTTGGCTCCACTGGCGCGTTCCGACACTCGACTAGTCCTCCGGCGGCTCGGACGGCCTTGAGCCAAGGCCCAGCTTGTAGCAATTGAGGGGAGCTGCTATTGCACGAGCGGTGGCACGGTTAGCTGCTACTTTAGCTAGGTCTAGCAATAGAAGCAAGCCATAATTCAACTCTATAGTTGAAAATCAAAATTAATTGTAAAATTGTAATAGCAAAATATGAAGAAAAAATAGGGTGAGGGAACGAAAGTACTTTGCATTGCATGCCCTGAATAGTTCTAATCTGATGTTATGTATAACTACGAGTCAACTTAAATTGCTAATAATAGACCGAGGAATTCACGGGAAATGATAGGTTTTTGTGACTAATTGTTGCACGTTCATATACGTGTTATTATTACTCCTAATAATTCTTCCTTTTTATTTAATCTTTTTCATAATATGATATTATAATAGTATATGGGCAATTCATATATTTAGATAGTTGTATGTCGTTAAAATAAATCAGTTATTTTCCAAGCAAGAGCAAGGGTGTCATGATCTGACTTAATTTTTATCCATGAAGGGATGGAGTAAGGCTCGCAATACCGGGAGAAGCATGATGGATACGAGATGGACGAGACAATTGAATCATGGGAATGGTATTAGGGAATTTTGTCTAGAATCCTATTTATAAGAGGAATTTTATGTGGAAGATGTCCGAATGCAGGGTCTGCCATCCGTGCACAAATTAGCCGAGAACTTATCCCGCTCTCTTCATGATAGTCACAACAGGTCGAAAGCTAGTTATTGTTTTGAATCGAGACTCGTTTTTCACTTGGGAGACGATATACCTAAGTTAGAGGAAGGCGGAGCACAATCAATCAAAATGGAGCATTTCACTATACAAAGTCATGCGAACGATATATAGAAAGGAAAACTGGCCTGATGTATGGGCTCGCTGCCATGTCCTTCACAGTCTCATGGCTGAAGCCAATCGATTTAGACCGTGACAAATAGCCGTCGGTGTCTTCTCAATATTCAACAACCATAGGATACAAAGGGTCGAGATAGCTCAAACAACGTTTATCATTCACATAAGAAACTTTTAATCAATTTATTTTGGGTGGGGAAAATGTTATTGAAAGCTGTAGGAGGTTGTCAAGCCATGTACACGTGATAATAAGTAGAAAATAAAACTAAGATCAGGCTGTGCCAGCGTGGCAATCCGCGTGCTCCTCCCGACCCGAAACACGGTCCGTCCATCTGGTCCCTCGATCGACGGCCCACATGCAATTCCCAAACGAGCCCGCCAAATCCTCCGAAATGTTTCATCGGACTCCCCGAAAAATTTTCAAAATCTCGCTCCCTGTTCTATATAGATCCTTCGACGAAACCCTACAGATTCAACCCGATCTCTCGTCAAGTTCAACTTCGCTCTCTGTATCTATAGCCGCAGAAGCACCGGAGAAATGGCGAGGACGAAGCAGACGGCGCGGAAGTCCACCGGGGGCAAGGCCCCGAGGAAGCAGCTCGCCACCAAGGCGGCCCGGAAGTCGGCCCCCGCGACCGGCGGGGTCAAGAAGCCGCACCGGTTCAGGCCCGGGACGGTGGCGCTGCGGGAGATACGCAAGTACCAGAAGAGCACGGAGCTGCTCATCCGGAAGCTGCCCTTCCAACGGCTGGTGCGGGAGATCGCGCAGGACTTCAAGACGGACCTCCGGTTCCAGAGCAGCGCCGTCTCGGCGCTCCAGGAGGCGGCCGAGGCCTACCTGGTGGGCCTGTTCGAGGACACCAACCTGTGCGCGATCCACGCGAAGCGGGTCACCATCATGCCCAAGGACATCCAGCTCGCCAGGAGGATCAGGGGCGAGAGGGCTTGAGATTGCTTCTTAGCTTGTTGTTACTGTGTGGAGTAGGGAGATGCAGAAAAACTGAAGCTTTAGCGTTTTGTAACTTTCTTTTCCTTTGTGCTTTTCTTCTGATGTGATGTATTTCCATGGCCATTAAGTGGATCAATAGAGAATTGGTTCTTCTTCTCCTTCAAGCTTTTGAAGTTTGGTAGTGAAAATGGACAGGGTGATTTGCAAGACATGCAAACGATCCGTGCACTTCAAGAGCAGCATGTCTTTCTTTGCATTTCTTCACCAGTTCATATAGCTCATCCCCTTCACCAACTCCATAAGTTAAATTCATTCGCCACCCATCACAGCAATGAGCTTCGGAACAACATGTCTCGCTGTCCTAATTGCCGTTCTTGCCGTGTTCGCTTCCGCCAATTTCACTGTCCCGATTTCGCTCTCTTCCCTCGGTGATCTTTCCCTTGATGCTGGGCTCTTTACCTTCCTGTGGCATGGTCCTTCGACCCTTTTCGGGCAGTGTGTCAGTCGCCATCGCCGCCGGCACCATAAGTGCCCCGATAATAGCCAGAGGCAGGTCTCCATTTGCGACGATTTCCCGCCTGACATTCCCCCTCCAGAGACTCACACGACGCTGACCCTCTGCGTGGACCAGAATGGGTGCTGTAACTTCACCACGGTCCAAGCGGCTGTGGACGCGGCCGGCAACTTCAGTCAGAAAAGGACCGTGATTTGGATTAACGGCGGCATCTACTAGTAAGAATAATCTGGTCACCCGGTTAGCAGCTTCCCTTTAGACAATGGATCATAATTTGGTGAATCAATCTGTTTGTTCCGGCAGCGAAAAGGTGACCATACCGAGGACAAAGCCGAACATCACGTTTCAAGGACAAGGGTACTTATCGACTGCAATCGCGTGGAACGACACGGCTAATTCTTCGCATGGAACATTCTATAGTGGCTCGGTGCAAGTCTTGTCAAACAATTTCGTCGCGAGGAACATTAGCTTCATGGTGAGATAGCAGATCGAATTTAGGAAATCATGTTCAGGCTGTGTGATTGCGATTGTAATTGAGATGCATTACTGTTTCAGAATGTTGCTCCAATTCCGAGCCCCGGAGACATCGGAGCACAAGCGGTGGCGATTAGAATCTCGGGCGACCAAGCTTCGTTTTGGGGTTGCAGGTTCTTCGGAGCCCAAGATACGCTTCACGACGATAGGGGTCGCCATTACTTTCGAGATTGCTATATCCAAGGTTCTATCGACTTCATCTTTGGTGACGCGAGGTCGCTGTACGAGGTATGGGAGTCCTTTGTGGCCGGTTCGATAATCGCACAAAACGCTCAGATAATCTTTCAAACATCACTTACAAACAAGCAGTAAGCTTAATTAATAAACTGTACTACCTGGCCAAAGCCAAAAAAAATCATGATAATTGCCTCTCCAGCATCTTCTGCCTGTCAATGATTCTAGGATGACCTTTCATTGAATCACAGAACTGCCAATTGATTTCCATAGCCACCCCAGTGCCTCCGGGGCAGAAGGGGATCAACGGGGCGGTCACGGCGCATGGCCGAGCTTCCAAGGACGAGAACACCGGCTTCACGCTTGTGAACGCCAGCATCGGGGGCACGGGGAGAATATGGCTTGGCCGGGCATGGAGGCCGTTCTCTCGGGTCATCTTCGCGTACACGACCATGACCGACATCATCGCGCCCGAAGGCTGGAACGACTTCAATGATCCTGCTAGAGACCAGTATGTATACGAACGATGATCGCCACCTGAGTACAAATTATCTACCCCACATTTCATCATTTAACAAGTTGGGTGGTTGATCAATTACCAACCTTTTCATCTGGCTTCTAATGAAATGCAGGACGATATACTACGGAGAATATAATTGCTCAGGAGCAGGAGCTAACATGAGCTTAAGAGCACCATATGTTCAGAGGCTTAACGATACTCAAGCTTCACCTTTTCTCAACATCTCCTTCATCGATGGTGATCAATGGCTGTGATGACCTCTTGCTATAACATCGATGCTATTTTTCAATTTCCATTCGATTATTTATTTCGCAGGTCAGGAGAAATAATTAATAATCTCCACAAAAAAGTGTTCAAACACAGTGATACATGTACCTCTTTTGTTCAAGCATCAACACATTCTATCGACTCGTGAAGTTCTCTTCTTCAGGATTGCTTTGTGCAGACAATTTGTTGAATTGGGTGATTGTCATGTCACGTGCTCCAATCTGTCCAGAGGTGGTGGTGCCTACGAACTTTCTCAATTTGGCATGAATCGATCAAGACAAGGTAATTATCATTTGTCTTCTGATTCACTGAGAATGTACGGTCTTGGCATTCTCTTGTTGGGAAGAGCTTTTTCTTTCACGGGATGGTCTGATTAAATAGCCACAAGATTGATCGACAAGTAAGGCTCTTGGGTTTCGATGATGATTGTTCGTTCTCTGGGATGCGTATGATCAAAGGAAACCAGCACCCAGATATCAATAGTAGGTAAATTATTAAGAAAGTCTTAGACCGATTGCATTTATTTTAATTTGGCCAATTTAGTCCTAAACCATTTGACAATTTGCCAATTAGTCCATCTAGCTAATTTTGACCGGAAACCGCTAATATGGACAGTTCTTAAATATTTTGTGAAGATTGTCCACTGTCCAAGAGAAGCTAACCAAGCTGCAGATTAGGTCGCTAAGGCTCTCAGCCTGAACACCCTTCTCCTATATTGGCTAACTTCAACCCCCTAGGCTTTATGGAATATTTTGTGTTCTGAAACTCATATGTCTTGCTCCAGTAGTACTCGTTATTATGAATGAATAAAAGAACTTTTTGGACCAAAAAATGACAAGAACAATTTTTAAATAACTTTTGTGATTTTTTTTCTTTTTTTTTCTTTTTCCCTTTTCTTTTCGCCGACTGGCCACCGGCTTTAGGCGATGGCTGGCCTCCCTAGGCGAGGGCCCTCCTAGCCAGATTTGGCAAGGTCGACCCTTGCCCAGGCCAGGGTGGCCTACCGGGCCTCGCCTGGGCGAGGGCAAGGGCCACCCTCACCCAAGCCAAGGCGGCGTCGCCCTTGCAGGCTATCGACAATGATCGGTGGATTATTTTGGCAAATCATTAAAAGGTTTAAGATTAAATTAGCCAAATTGAAAGATTTAGAACGAAATTGACACAAGTGCAATAAGTTTAAAACTTTCTCGGTAATTTCCCCTCGGATTAGCTACCTTCCTTTAGGCCTCGTTTACAATTTGATCATAAGATTACGAGATCAATGACGATTGCATTCTAATTTGCTTTTGCTTTGTTTTTTTTCTAATGTCATTTGGTAATGTGTGAAGTCGAAAGAGAACGCAATAAATGCGCCGATTGGCTAGTTAACCATAGTCTCATGTTAGATTCTAATTCTCAGTGAAAAAGTCGTATAATATTAGTCTCATCTTTGTCCTAAGCAAGTAAATGCCATGCCACTTTCTTTTCACATATGCAAGCGACATATGAGAGTTCGGTGAGGGGGACCCTCCCTCATTAATGCTTGGATAGCAACGGGAATGCGTGATTAAAAAAATGATTTATATTGACTACATCGCTAGTGCAAAATATCTTGAAAAAAAGTAACCAAAAACCTTAAATTATACTCAATATAACATATTTACCCTAAACATTTTTTGTGACACAAAAAATACAAAATTTGTACTCATGTAACACATTTACCACAAACTTGTACCAGTGTGACACATTTACGTCAAAATTTGGGATAAATGTGTCATAAGAATATAAGTTTGGAGTTTTTTGTGTCACAAAAATATAATTTGAAATAAATGTGTTACACGAGTATAAGTTTGGGGTTTTTAATGTCACAAAAAAATGTTAAAGTAAATGTGTTACCCAGGTACAAATTTGGGTTTTTTGGTGTCACAAAAAAATTTGGAGTAAATGTGTCACAATGGGCATAATTTAGGGTTTTTGGTGGCTTTTTCCCAAATATCTTTTACACCAAAGAAAACCGATTCTAATGCCTTTTCTAAGAAGTTACTAGATCCACAAAACGTGCTAAATATATTGCATTCTTTGACTTTAGCTAGACTAAAATTGAAATAGGAATATTTAATTTGGCAATTTATTAGAAGTAACATCCCATCTGTTCTAGTCAACCTCAGTAAACTAGCTAAAAATACTGCGAAACCATATGCTTATGTGGATTATATTGGCATCAAAGTGGGCGTCGTAGTTATTTTATAGAAATATAAGCGGTGCCATTGAAATTAATGCAAGATGGAGGGGGCGATAAAGACTTTATCCATGTAAACATTTGGAGCAATATGACCTTTTTTTTTTTTTTTACCGCATAACCTATTAATAAACACTGAGGGTCAAACTGCGCTGATAAATTATGATAGGAAAAAGGTTGATACTCAAAATGTATAGCTCTTGGTTGAATGGAACACACGACGCAAATATTTGGACACCACACTTGAGAACTATATATATAATAAAATATTTATATATTTTTTTTATAATAAGATCGATCATTGGTCGTCTTACATTATATAATTTCCATAATTTAAAAAAATTGTCATATTATATGTGTTTTTGTCTAAGATATGTATCATCTCAAAGATTCTTCATATACCGTGACCCTCAAAGTGGAAATGAATATGTGGTCACGTCCTTAATCGCCGGCATTCACTAATCATCGATGTTGGGCTGCACTTTATGTGGCTTAAAATCATTTATTATACTCTTGATTTTTCTACATTTCAATTTCGAAATCCTATTAGCAAAAATTCTATGTTGGCTGGTAATTCACTTAATTAATGGGACATTTCATGCCAACTTAATTTGAAATACCATGTAGGGGTGCGTAAAACGGATCATCCGAATTGGAAATCGCCCGGACCGGATTGAATCGGCCGATTAGGTCTGGTGTTGGTCCAATCCGATTATATATACTTTTTTTTTATTTTTTATTTCTTTAAAATAATTAGTAATATGTGAATTAAACCCGCATACAACACTTTTTCCTTATCGTTGCACCACAATGACTCTTTACTCATCGTTCCTTCTGTCAATTTCTTTAAATTTGTCACTTTCTTTTGTTACGGTGGGAAAAAAATAAAAAGCTATCAATTCTGTTATATCATATCGGAAATCAATGACCCTTCAAACCATGCAGTGGACATGTTCTCATCGGTCAACGTGTGACATATGATGATGTTGTCAACGTGAAGTGATGTATCACAGAAATGCACCTTACAATTCTCCCTCGGTCCGGCAACCAACTACATCCAGACAAAGATTAATGATTTGAACATAAACAATGTCAATTCCTGAAAAGAATATATCATTGTATATTCTTCTGTTTCTTTGTATAGTTGGAGACACACACACGTACTTTTATATATATATATATATAAATTCTATGCCTCCAAATAAAAATGCCTGCAAGTTCTTTGTGTAATCAACCCTCTTCATTAATTTTAAATGCCCAAGATACGCCATGGTTTTTGTAATCTCCACATAGAATATTTTACTACTGACCACATAAACACTCATATTTCTCTTACCTCTTATTTCTTTCAAGTCAAATAATAGCATTTGCTGTGTGTGCAAAACAATACACATCCGCTTTTGGAGATAGAAAATCCAATTCAAAAGTCAAACGTGATTAGGAGCGGCACGTGAAATTCTGGGTGGACGCACATTCGCGAAAGACGTAGCATTGGTTCTAATATCATGTTAATTATAATGTCCAATCTAAAAGCTTAAGCTACTAGATGGAACGAGATTGCATATTTATAAGAAGTATATAAGATCCGTTGTGAAGCGATGTGCGATAATAATTCAATATTCGAAATGAAAGGACATACTTATATTCTCTTAATTAAAGAAATTTAATTGATTCGGATTTACCCTTTGAGCTACGATGCGAAAAGAAGATAAGTTGCTTGGACAATTTTCCATTAATTCTCATGTTCCTACGTGGCAAGAAGAACGAAAGGGCAAAAGACAGCGTGAAAAAAGACTAGGCCACAACGTACCGTGAAATGTCGGGTCATTTTCTATGGTCCCCTAGCTAGGTACTATTCCTTCATGTTGTGTCAAACATACCTTAAAAAAATGCAAAACGCCGAAATTACTTAAGATTAATCTATAAATTGATACCCCGAGCAATGTAATAAAACATTGTCAGACGTTAATATAACCCACTTGTCAATGTAGTCCTTCGCATCAGTTAACATATTGATGTAAGTTATTGTCAAGTGCATAAACTAAAGTTTCATCTCTGTCTCTATTCTAATAGAACCCTATGAAAACCCAAATAAATTTCCTATTATTAACAGGCTGTATTGTCAAGCCTGCATTATTAGGCCTTGTGAACAGCCAGCACAAAAGAACTTGCAAAGTTGCAACCAACCAGCAAACAAAACCCCCCCAAGGTTTTTAAACTTCCTCCGTTTCTCTGTCTCCAAAATAAATCTTATTCAAATCCCACTCTGAATCTGTCCCCTGTCGGACTATAAAATCCTCCATAGCCCCCCTCCTCTCTTTCAGAGCTTCACAGAGAGAGAGAGAGAGGGATGGGAGCGTGCGCCACGAAGCCGAAGGTGTCGAAGTCCGACAAGGATGCCGTTGATGCCCCAGTGCCGGCGCCAGAGGAGGTTGTGGCGGGAGTGGACTCAGAGACGACGGCCGAGGTAAAGAAAGAGAAAGAGGTGGTGGTTGCGGCTGGAGCAGTGCAGGGTGAGAGTGTGAAGGAGGTGGTTGATGTGGAAGGAGGCAACATACCCCGTTCTTTGAGTCTTTTGCTCGAGGAGGTAAATGATTTGGTTTCAGTTTATAAGACTCTCCCTCTTATCATTCTTGCTGCGTTTTCACTTTCCTTTCCAATTTAGATTTTGATTCTCACGAACATATCAGTCTTAGTCTCACTGTACTCAAAAGGGTATTGAGCAGCAAGATCCTGCTGTTCTTGTTTTGGTTGAGTGATTGATTTGGTCAGGAATCCTTCCATGTTCTCAATCTAATCTTTTCTTCAAACGGGTCAATGACAAAAGAAGAATTTGGGATTAGGCCGGGAGAGATATTTGCCAGGACGGCTTAAATCTGACGCCTCCACACGCATTGGATATCGTTTCGCTAAGGATCTCCTGCCAGCTTCACTCAATGCAAGGGAATCCAAGGACATTCTCTACATTGTTCCCTTTGCTTTGGAGAAATGGAATGGTTTCGCTGTCGATGGACCCACTGATTTAGCTCTCTCGCTGTCTCTTACTAGCCTGCACGTCGCAATTTCACCGTCATGTCTTGTTTTTTCTTTCCCTTGGATGATGTCGTTGTCATGCGTTAAGGGACAAAAGTAGCGACACGTTTCTCGGCCCTTGTCCTGTCTTTTGGGTTATTGCTTGTCTTGTTGTCATCGCTCTCGGAGAATATACTTTGTTCAGACAAGAGAGGAAGTCGACATCTTGATCATGTTATAGACAATATCGACCCGTGATAACCAAGGAAAAGCGAGAGATACGAAATCATGGTTTAAGTAAAATTTTTGAGGAAAACGGTTTGTGCAATGTTTTTTAATCCAACTCAAGATTTGTCCACGGAGAGAAGAGATCAATCCATCTGCTCATCCTTCGCAGGACAATCAAAAGGCGAAAGCTGAAAGTGAAATGACATCCTCGGTGACGGCAGAGACGCCAGAGTCCTCATCGGAGCCCCAAGCCAAAACAGAGGAATCAGAGACCAAGCCACCCGAATCGCAAGAATCGGCTATTGAAGAGCAGCAACCGGCCCCTGCTGTTGCCACCGTCGAAGCTGCAGAAGCGGTCGAGAAAGAGATGGCAATTGAATCTCCTCCCGCTCCGGCGGCGGAACCCACTGAGAAGAAAACCGAAACGGCCAAAGCAATTGCCAAAGAGGAAGCCAAAGAATAATAATGCAGGGCTGTTATTAGCTGGACTGGTTGGCCGGAGCTCTTGGTCTTAAAGCTTGTTGGTCCATTGCTTGTTGTCAAATAGTGTCTTTATTTTTCGGATTGATCATAGTGTTTTGTTTAAGGTAATTTGATAGGAATTTGTTCTTATGTTCTCATGAGGACAAGAATGCAGAGGCGTCTGTTGCCTTTGTTTTCAGGTGGGTCATGGGATATTGGTATTCTATTTATATTCCCTTTTGATTATTTATTGGGGATGAGCCAGAGAGAATAATTTTGTCGACACTAATCAAGATTGTTGCATCTGCTAGACTCCAAGCAATACAATGCAGCTACTGCATAAACTAAACAACATTCATTGTCCACAAAAAGGGCATGTGTCAATCCAAACGAGGTTGGAAATACCTCCGCCCTTGTTATTTATATCTTAAAATCAATAACAGTTGGGCACCGTGAGATCAGTGACATTGACCGAACATCTACAGTTCTATCGTTTCTGTTTATCAGTATGTGAAACAGAATACAACCCAAGTCCTTGGTTCCACTTCTTAATCCGTGCTTCATCATCAGCCTCCCTAACCTTATGAGCCCTGCTAGTGACACTCTCCTGAAAATATACAGACTTATATAACTGTTGAGGAAATATGTAAGATCGATGGAAGCTGCCTAGAAGAGTTTAAACAGTCGTTTCAGTGAATAGCGGAAGCGAAGCATGAAGGGGAAGCATCGGTAGGAGAATATGCAGCCCCGCATGACATGGCCTCGATGGACCCAAAATAAAATAATTTGAGGAAAAAAATTGGTAAGAATTATATCTCGTGTCGGGTGGGATTGGATATGAATCACTAAAATCCTTTCATTTAAAATGAGTCAATTTTAATCCGATCATTTCGAATCCGACTCAACCCATCCATTTAATTGGCCTATCTTGAATGGCTTTCCAAGAGATCTCAAAAGGCGTATTAAATTCATCCTTTCACATGGCAGGTATATGGAATGTCACACACTTCCGAGCAAGTAACATACAAAATATTCATTTTAAATATACGTAAAAGTATCAACATTTTTGTAACAAGACCAGTATCTCAACAGGTATTTCATGAACACTTTGTTAGTAATACCGTAATTAAAATTTTTGCACCAGCTTTCTCTATGGAATATTTTAGCTATATTTGACAATCTTCTCTCAAACCTCATCTTTGGGAGAAAATATTGGGTATGCCGCCCCTTCATGTCACCATGGGGCCGTCCCATTCATTGATCGCCACGTGTGGTAGATGAGTCCCACTTCGTCGGATTTTTCAGAACTCCCTTGCTTCTCTCTCCCCTCACTTCCGTCTCCGACACACACACGCACTCTCTTCTCGTTCTCTTTTCTTCTTCTTCTTTGTTCAAAGAACGAAAGTCTTCTTCATCCGAAGATGTCTCTCTTCGTTCCAACCACGCTTCCGCCGTCGCCTCTCCAATTTGTTAACCGCGCTCTCCATTACCCGTCTTGGTTCCAACTGGTGGAAGACGAGACGAAATTGTCACTACTTCTTGTCTTCTTCTTTTATGTTGGAATAATAAAATTTGGAATTGATATTCAAATATGTCTTGAAAGATTACATAATATTTATAGATCCTTTAGATAACTAGAACAATTAAAAATTATCTTGAAAACAAGCAACAATAAGTAAACATTAATTTCCTCGATAACAATTTCCAAGACTCCAAGTCTCTAGATAATAATTGCAAGAATCCAATTCACGAGATGAGTTTGGATTACGAAAAGTCTTTTTTATTTCCAACAACCTCCCTTAAACCGAGCTCATCTTGACCATGCCGATCATTCTCTTGAGTTTAAGGAAGGAGTCCGTCTTCAATGGCTTACTAAACATGTCAACCACTTGGTCTTCCGACTTGCAAAACTGTAACACAATCTCCTCGAACTTCACTAGATCTCGAATGAAATGATACTTTATATTAATGTGCTTGCTTCTTCCATGAAAGACTGGATTCTTTGCAAGGGCAATTACTGACCTATTATCACAATTAATCACCGTCGGATGCTCCTGCTTATGACGTAATTTAGCAAACATCAAACATAGCCAAACTGCTTGAGTAGCACAATAAGCCGTTGCTATGTATTCCGCTTCCACACTGGACAAAGCAACCACCTATTGCTTCTTCGAGGACCAAGAAAAAATTCCATTTCCTAAAGAGAAAACATAACTGGAAGTACTCTTCCTTTCTCCAATATCACCTCCCCAATCACTGTCTGTATATTCCATAAGCTGAAAATCATTAGAAACATTGTAGAATATACCATCATTCACAGTACATCCGTAGAATTCTTTTTATTGCCTGCAAGTGTGATTGTCTAGGAGTCTCCATAAATCTGCTTACCATCCCAACACTATAAACAAGATATGGCCGAGTAGAAGTCAAATATCGTAGACTCCCGACTAGCCTTTTGAAATATGTGGCATCGACTTCGGAGCCACTTCCATCTTTTGTCAACTTCAATCTTTCCTCCATTGGAGTGCTAATTGGTTTACAAGTAGCCATCTTGAAACGCTCAAGAATATCCTTGGCATACTTTTGTTGACAAATAAAAATACCATCCTCCTATTGTGTAACTTGAAGGCCGAGAAAATAATACATGAGACCCATGTCTGCCATCTCAAACTCACGAGTCATGGCCTCCCTAAAGTCAGAAATCATCTCTTGACAATTTCCGGTAAATATGAGATCATCAACATATAAGCAAACAATGAGCATCTCATCGTTCAAGCCAATCTTCACATATAAAGCATGCTCATAAGGACATCAGTTAAAACCATGATTCATGAAATAAGAATCAATTCTGGTATACCATGCTCACGGTGCTTGCTTGAGACCGTAAAGAGCTTTTTTCAATTTGTATACGAAACCCTCTTGTCCTTTCTTGACATACCCCTTGGGTTGATCTACATACATCTCCTCCTCAAGTACGCCATTGAGAAATGCGGACTTGACATCCATTTGGTGTATTTTCCAACGTCTTTGAGCAGCCAAAGCAAAGATCACGCGAATAATTTCCATTCTTGCAACCGGAACAAATACCTCAAAATAGTCAATCCCGGGTTTTTGTTTGTAACCCTTGACTACAAGACGAGCCTTCAATCGATCAACATCACCATTAGGCTTGTACTTGGTCTTATAGACCCATTTCATGCCGATGGACTTCTTGCCTTTTGGAAGAGAAGTGAGCTCCCACGTATCATTTTTCTTAATCGCATATATCTCATCATCCATAGCACAAACCCAACCATCATCTTGGGAAGCCTCCTTAAAGTTTGTCGGATCACAATCTGCAAAGAGAGCAAAATTAATAATTTCTTCATAAGAGGGATCATCATCATTGGACAAACACACAATCCCTCAAACGAGCCGGTAAAGCTCATTCTCGTCGTGGACGTGGGGACGTTTCAGCAGAATCCGACTGAGTCTTTGCTACCGGATCAGGTTGCATTGATGCCGCTACTAGTTTAGATTTACTATTTGAATTGGGTTGAACCGACTTCTCCTCGTCCAGGACAAAGTGAAAACTGCTTCTTCTACTCCATGCTCCAAGTCCACTCACCTTCCTCATCAAAGGTGACATCTCGACTGATAACCACCTTCTTTGTTACCAGATTATACAACCGATAACCCTTGGTCTCATTACTGTAACCAAGGAAGATGCACTTCTCACTCTTCTCATCAAGCTTCTTGCGAAGTTCATTTGGCACATGGGCATAAGTAATACACCTGAACACGCAAAGATGCTGAATTGAAGGGATTCGACCACTCCACACCTCTGCCGGAGTCTTGAACTCAAGACCTTTAGTAGGACACCGATTCAACAAGTAAACAACATAAGCAACCGCCTCCGCCTAGAAATGCTTAGGCAATTGTTTGTAACAAAGCATGGTACGAACCATATCAACAATAGTGCGGTTTTTTCTCTCCACTACTCCGTTCTGTTGAGGAGTGTACCGTGCTGTCAATTGATGCTTGATGCCGCACTGTTTGAAGAAGCCATCACCAACCAAATATTCTGTACCACGATTAGTTCAGAGAATCCAAATTTGGTGCCCACTTTGTTTTTCTACATAGGCTTTGAACTCCTTGAAAGCATCAATGGCGTCGGACTTGTGCTTCAAGAAATAAACCCATGTTTTTCGGCTAAAGTCGTTGATGAAGGTAACAAAATACTTGTACCCCCGATTTAACGATTCACCGAGTGGTCCGCAAAGGTCGGAGTGCACTAACTCCAACGGCTTTGAAGCTCTCCATGATTGTCCCGAAGGGAAGCTTTCTTTGCACTTTTTTCCAATAACACATGGTTCACATATTTCTTTCAGAGAAGAAATTCCGGGTAGTCCACGCACCATCTTCTTTCGAGACAATAGCTTCAAGCTGTCAAAATTCACATGCCCGAACCGCTTGTGCCAAAGCCATGAAGAATTTTGCACTGAGGCACTAAAACACGAGGTAGCATAATTAATATACAAAGGAAAAAGTCGATTTCGAGCCATTTTTACCTTCGCAATCAACCCTCCTTTGCCATCATGAATCGTGCAAAGCTCATCTTTAATGGTCATGTGATAGCCTCGCTCGGACAATTGTCCCATGCTTAGGAGATTTTCTCGTAGACCGGGAACATAATGAACATTGGAAATGCTTTGAACCGACCCATCTTTCGCCTTGATTTTAATTGTCCCGTTTCCCATGATAGGAACTTTGGCATTATTCCCGAACCTCACCTCCGAACAAAAGGCGTCATCAAGTTTTGAGAATAATTCCTTCTCGCCGCACATGTGATTGCTACATCTGGTGTCTAAGTACCAAACGTTCTTCTGGTTTTCCACCGCAGCATCACACGTGAATAAAAGAGCATTGTCATGCTCATCGTCGCTATCAACAAATCTTGCTACCTTGGCATGAAACTTTGGACCACCAATCTTCTTGCTTCGGCAATCAGATTGGTAATGCCCATACTTTTTACAATTAAAACACTGAATATGATACTTATCTTTTTGTTGTCCAGAATGCTTCTCTTGCCACTTTTTATCTTTCCTTTGATTAGAAAGTTTCTTCTTTTCATCGGGCAACACCAATTGGCTTTGTAGAGCTTCCTCTACCGTCTTGGATTTCTCCTTGAGTCGCTTCTCGTGCATTTGTAGAGAGCCCATCAACTCATCAATGGTCAAAATAGAGAGATCCCGATACTCTTCAAT